CATGCTATTTTACAGGAGAAAGAAAACTCAAATAGGTTGTATAATGAGCCAGAGGTTGTATAAGCCTATAAGGAGCTAGAGAGAGGACTCAGCTAGACCAAAAGGGTTTCTAGCACATTTTTTTAATTTTTTAAACTACTATGAGATTTAATCTCTCGATCTAGAGTCCAAAAAGGGATTTCAAATCCCTTTTGGCAGCCAACTTATTGCTTGCTTAGCTCTATTGACAGTTCTACATTAAATTAAACTATTACTTATGGAAATTAATCATTGAAAGTCATTTGCATAAGATAAAATTACAATATATAGTAGCTTTGAACTGCTTTAGTAAAAAGGTATTTTAATTGTATAAAAATTTTAGGGATAATTTCAGAAATCTCCCTTGAGGTTTAGATTAATTTTAGATAGCTCCCCTCATATTTTGAAAATTACATATTCCTCCCCTAAAACATAGGGTTTCACCGTGATGATGTAAGACCAAAAAAGTATATGAATGCCCCTTGAGGTTTAGAGTAATTTTAGACAGCTCTCCTCACGTTTTGAAAATTACATATTCCTCCCCTAAAACATAGGGTTTCACCTTGATGATGTAAGACCAAAAAAGTATATGAATGCCCAAAATTGCTCTCATCTAAATTTTCTTTATATGAATAATCATTAAACTTTTTTAAAAGTCAAGAATACACTTGTATACTACCAATAATGTCTTGATATTTTCCATCCCCATGGTTTTCTACATTCGCCCAAACTTTCAAACTATTATCACTTCTTCTTCAAATTATACTTTTTCGTAATCCAGTAGTTTTTTTGTGTTCAATGATATAAATAATTGGGTTGTTGGTAGTAATGATTGTTTCCATCATCATCAACAACAGTAGCATATTTGAGTGATAGAAAGAATGAGACATCAATCTTGATTAGCATATTTAAGTGATAAAAGGTTACAATTTAATGGCCATAGTTGAAATAGTTTGGCCACAATTTATGATCTGGACAAAAAGAATTGCTTTCCTTTTTTCATTTTCCTTTTTTCCATTATCTTTTCCCGTTTTTATGAATGGCTTGTTTTTTAAAAAATTATGAAGGTTATTATAGTCATTGTCTATTATCAAGGGAAGTAAGTATAATATTAAAACTTCAAGGGAACTCAGTGAAATTGTTAGAAATCTTAGGGGAGGTTTCTAAAATTATCCCAAAATTTTAAGATGTAGTTACAAAGATGTATATGGGTTAGGATAGGATTCTGGATTCAAAACTTGGACCTTGATTTTGTTTAGAGTTGGAAACAAGGCATCTAAATACGGTTAATGCAACAGTTTGATTGCTAATTAAATTTTTTATTACAGGAGGATAAATTTTGATTTGTCTAAAAATATTTTTCATGGTTTAAAATTTAAATAAATAAAAGCCCAAATTTTCTATTGTAGCCTTAACATAATTTCCAAGGAAAAGTATTTAATTCATGAGAATTGGAATTTATCCTTTCAAGTCAAGGTTACTAATATTCTGTAAGACTCAAACATGTATCCATCCTGTATTATATTTACTTTTTAAATTATCACCCTTGTCAAAATGCTCAAATTGTTTGCACAAGGATTTTTAGTCCTGTTACCAAGGCATCAGAATACATTAAAACAACGTGTTTGCTTATTAAATTTTTTTTTTTTATCGACAGTACATCCAACTATATCAAGACCAACCAAACTCGGTTCATATGTTGTCCAAATGTACTGTCTTGCTAGTTAGTTGATTTTGTGATTCTATTATAAATACATTGACAAGTATATGTAGATTCCCTCCCGTCATAGACGGAACTAGATTTAGGACGTGAAATTATGAAAAGCTTAGCGGCTTTAGAATTACGAAACACTTAAAATTCAGTCTTGTGTCCTTGTAGTTCCGAGTACCTTCAGAGTTGGATCGAGGAACAAAGACTATGAAAGATGTAAACCTGAAGCGATACCTTTACCGCTAGTTTGGGAGGAAGGAAATGAATAGAAAGTAAAAGTTTTGAAAGGACAAAAAAACTTTTTCTATCGTTTGAAAGTAAAAATAAGTACGAAAAGAAAATATTTGGAAAGATTTGACTTCCCTCCATCTCTTTAAAAACTTTCCACCCAAAGTTAGGCAGAAAAGGAAGGAGGACACAGTAGTTTTTAGTGAATTTTCAAATATGATAATATTACTCTTTAAATCATGATAAAAAATTTAATTCCCGAAGAATTTCTTCATACAAACATCCTTTCACTTTATCTCATAGTTATTAAATCCGGTTCAACTCAACGGTTGAACCGGTCAAACTGATGGACCTATCATGGAACGAGTGATTTAGCAATTGAATTAGAGTTACAGATGACTCGCTTTAAACCGTTTGATTCGGATGGTCGAACAAATGATTCGTTAAACCCGACGGGTTTTGAAATTTTTTTTCTTCCTTTCTGAGGTCTTTCTTAAGAACTTGAACATAATCATAGAGTTTGATTGTACCAAACATAATTGTTTTAACAATTTTGTTTGATATCAATATTTTTCAATACCATTAATTATATAGAAAGAAACATAAAAGATTCAACATTTGAAGATATGGGAGTAAAAGGACAATCTTTCTTCCTATCATTTTAGAAATTCTTTTTTTTAGGTATAATGTTAGATTAATTAACAATAATTATTAAAAGAGACCTATCATTAAGAAATTCAAACCTAAGAGAGTAAAATTGTTTTCAAAGATTCCATTTGTAAGCACTATATTGTTCTTAAGAATTTTTTTTTCTGAGGTCTTTCTTAAGAAATTGAACCTAATCATAGAGTTTGGTTGTACCAAACACAATTGTTTTAACAATTTTATTGAATATCTAAATATTTTTTAATACCATTTATTGGACTCAGCAGATGAAGATACAAGAGTAAACCTGTCATTCAAAAATTCGAAACTAAGAAAGTGAAGTTGTTTCAAAGATTTCAGAAATGCCTCCAAAATGTGTAATACTTTAGATTTGCAACTGTGCATATGCCAGAAAAAAATATGAAAGACAAACTATCTTTAAATCTATCTCACATAAAAAAAAAATCTAGGAGGAAATTAAACAATCGGATACTTTTGTTAGTAATACTAAAACCTCTAATTTCTACAAATCTTGTGTGACAATAGTAGCATTCCTTTAATGAAAAATAAGGACACAACCAAATGTAGACTAAAGCCTTGTGGCAACATTATGCCAACAAATAAACAACTTCTGAAATAAGTCAATACATAATAAAAAAGAAAAGAAAGGAAAATGGCATACACAAGAAAGGCATGAACTACCTAAGACTCGAATTTTAAGTGCCTACAACTATTATGATGCCATGAAACCAGGAAAAAGACTCTTGGCCAATCTTCTCCTTTGTTTTATTTCATCCATCACCACCAAGACTTTTCCACCAATACTCATTCTAACCAATATATATATATATATATATATATAGAGCACAACAAATCTTGATGACAAATTTCAATTTTCAAATGGTTGTGCATAAATTTTTCTCACCTCCCAACCATAGTTGATCATTACATGCACCTTTGTGCCCATGCCTCAATTAAGCGCACCAAGATGAAATAAGAATAAACTATTTAGTAGGTTTAGACTACTTTGATTGTTAAATTTTGATCAATAATATATTTTAAATTTGAATTTAACTCCTCAAAGTAAGTATGTCAAATTTTACTCCTCCATCATTAAATTCGATGCAAATCCTGTATTTGTTTTTAGTCGAAACAATTTCTTCTTGTATAGTTCTTGAAGAAACCATGTGGATGCGAATGCCTTTTTAAACATTTATCTTCCATTTGATGCTTTTATCTGATCGTGTAAAAATGTTGGATCTCGTCTAAATTCTACAGAACGACCCCAAAAGAAAGTGTACGAATGTTGTACTAATGCCAATTACTATTTAGTTGAACACAAATACGGTGGTTCATTCTTTATTGTGAAGGGCCAATTTGATATATAAAATACATGACGGACGAAAAGTAACTAACTAAAATAATTTAAAAACTTCCTAAATAGTTTACACCAAATATTTCTCCAGTTGGGGATTTTGTTTGAAATATTCCCCAAGAAAAGAATGAACCACGATCCAACATTTTTACACGATCAGATAAAAGCATCAAATGGAAGATAAATGTTTAAAAAGGCATTCGCATCCACATGGTTTCTTCAAGAACTATACAAGAAGAAATTGTTTCGACTAAAAACAAATACAGGATTTGGATTTTATAACCATGCCCGAATTATCTGCTGTCACTCTATCGGTTGTTTGTCAGAAGTGGGATTTGAACCCACGCCCTCTCACGAGGACCAGAACTTGAGTCTGGCGCCTTAGACCACTCGGCCATCCTGACTGACTGCCCAGTTGGAGCAACACAGTGATTATATGATAATAAAAGCCGAAATGCTAAACGTAAACTAATTCCCCCCGTTGTCAAGTTATTAGGCGATGATTTCCTAGTTATTTGCACGGCAAGGCAAATTATACGCACTAGAACCTCCTTTTTCTTTCATATAGCTTTTGTTCTCTCGGAAGAAACATGAGCAGTAGTGTTTAACCCTTAAACCGAACCACATCAATCATTGTGATCTTCTAGTAAAACTTGAAGAACCATATTTAGTAATGACCGATACTATCTCATAAGATCAGGCTTTCCCTCCTCTTTTTCCCGGGCTTGGGACCGGCTGTCTGATGAGACAGGCAGAGTTACAAGCATCCTACCAAACAAAACAGCACAAGCATACAAACAAGCAAGCCACAATTAAGAACCACAGACAAGAAAGTGCTGCTATAGATGCATCTCCCACAAAACAAAACAAAAAAATCGAACTCAGATGCAGCAAAGTCAAAAAAGACCGTCAGGCCGAGGGAACCATCAAGCCACATCCCCACACAGCAATCTCAATTAATCAGTTTTAACAAAAATAGCAAAATAAACTGTACTAATAGCACACCTTTCCTTAATAACACACTTTTTTTTTCTTTTTTTGGGTGGCTGGGTGTGTGTGTCTCCATATGGAGGGGGCCTTGAATCCCATTAGACAACCTTGAGGTTACCTGACCAAACATATACCACGATTACAACCGCCCAACTTTCTTCACTTGTTTTCATACCAAATCTTACCCTTAAACTGCAGCAGGGTTAACCTATAAATCAACTAAGTTACCACCCCTCAGTTATGAACTTCCAAATTAGGAGATCTACTACCGTGTGAAACTATTAGGCGACAGTTAATTTTCTATAGCATTCAAGGGGCTTAAGCTGCACAGATAAAATCGTCCACAGCAAATGACAAGGTTGCCTGGAACACACTCATTTCATGAATCCAACGAAATCATGAATCCACACTTCAAACAAATTAATGAATTTCGATACTTGAAAACAAGGCATTTGGATTCCTCTCAATTTCTCAATCATTTACAAAATGGTTCTATGAACATACACCTGTGCCAGGGCCTGTTAAGATGCAACCCCCTCCCAAAACAGCAATGCATACAACTATTGCAGATCTTAAATTGGACCTCATAATGCCACACCATATCTGTCAAGGCCATAAGAAAATATTGTCCAATAACTTCTCCCTAAAGAAAACAAAATTCAGTTACATGCCACTTCAAATTGCATACTAAACCCATGTACCAGGGGATCACAAAATTCAAGTATGAAATGAAATTCACAAACAATACCAGTACCAGTGGTTTGCAAGTTGATGACTACAAAAACAGATATTGCATCTGTTCTTACATGACTAAACAATACCAATAGCAATACCAGTGGTATGTAAGTCGATGACTTCCAAAACAGATATTGCATGCATCTGTTCTAACATGACTGAACCAGCATCTGCTTACAAGTGGAATAACCAAATGTTTTCTTCCATTCAATTATAGATAATGGAGGCTAGCAGCAAGTATTCAATGGTGATAGGACCACTGCGGATTTCTGACCTCGTCTATAATAGTGGGCGTACCAGTTACAACACACCAAAAGCCACAACACACCAAAAGCCCAAGAATGATAGAGGCGGCAAGAAATATACCAACAACTTGACCATGACCATGAACTTGATAATCCATACTGAGTTACATCTTAGGCTGCACCCCAGAGTCTATCAGAAGTTTCTTTCCACATTCAAAGTTGTCAATCAAATTCCAGGTAGACTAGGAAGCGCTACATCTTCACCATCTATACAACTTGAAAGGAGAGACAAATAGAAATCCCAATTTCTGGATATTGAACTCAAGAACTGGTTGAGGTAAAGATGTCTTAAATTCAATGGAATAAAAATGCTTGCTATAGAATATACAAAACTTCGCTAAAGACAACCAAAACTCCTCTCATGCTATCAAAGCAGAATCTGCAACTTCAAAGTATATTGACAACACCGTCATGAATAAACCTGGACAAACAAATGACACTGCAATTGCGCTCAAAACATATCCATTACAAATGATCAGGATAAGAAACCTCTACGTCTGTTTCGATTTCTTGGTGATCAGTAGTATGCAACTAGTATGGATTAATAATGCAGAAATTCAGGCTTAAAATCATTCATCCGAGTTCAACCCCCAGCTCTTCCTGAAATTGAATGCCATAATTTAAAAAACTATAGTGCTATACAAAGAAAACCAGGCACAATCACACGAGCGAGGAACTCCTTCGAAATCATGTAGACCACAATACCAGGTAACAAAAGGTAACAAAATGACCAGAGATTCTTGAATTCAAACTCCCTAAATGGAAACCAGTTATGCAACATCACATTCAACATGTGCAAAATCAATCAGGATCATGTGAACCATAAATTGAAGTTCTTCTTTGCATCCCCTAATTCTGATAATTCACCCCGTCAGTCTACAGCAATAACATCAAACAGCAACAGAGAGAATTTTGACAGATGAAGAAGCTAATTGACGTCAGCAGAATTTTCCAAAAACTTGTACTGAACCCTGAGAAGAACATGACAAACCAATTATTTCTATGCACCCTGAAGAACATGCCAAACCAAATATTTCCATGCACCCTTTATTCTTTCAAATACTTTATGAACTCAATAGTAAAAATGCTGAAAACACAGCATAGTTGGACGACCATCATGAGTAATTCAGAATTCATCCATCAAAAGCTAAAGAATTGAAGAAGTATATGTGAACCGTCATCCCACCTTATATTCAATTCCATAAGGCCTATAACATATATCTTGAACCTGTTACTTAAGAACAATACCATGACCAAAACTCCTAAATCCAATCTGCCAAAATTAAACAGATTATAAAGCATGACTAATGCCATCAGTGATGTTTTCAACAAACACAATAACAAGATGGCATGAAGAGAGATTCCATGATTCAAACCACAATATCGTGGATATCTGAATAACATAATCATCAAGAGACCCCTATTTCTTCACAATCCTCTCGCTAGGACTACAGTTGTGCAAGGGAGTACCAGGACATCAGAACCCAACTTAAAACTCGACACCAAGATGAAAACCAATATCAGAGCTGTCCATTATCAGAGCTGTCCATTAATCCCAACCATCCAGAAATTTAGGTTATATACATACCATCAAAACTAATTAATATACCAAGCATAATGTTAATTCTTTTCAGATCATGATGAATCATCAAAACACCAGGAACCGCCAATACATGCATGTTCAATGGCAGAATTAGATAGTTTACAAGAAAACAATCCCCAAATAAAGAAAGGGCCTGGATAAAGCTAATCAGAAACTATAGAGAAGCAAAATAGGTGCAAGTGAATTAAATGGGCAGGTCAACAGCACAATTAACAGTTGGGATTAAGCAGTGATACGCAAATCACTGCTCTCTTAAATGAGGATCAGGAACATGGGCTTCACATCCCAAGCGGAAAGGAATGGTAAGAGTAGACGAACACCCTCCAAAACAATGTACTAGCCTTTGATCTGACAATAGAGACCTTAAGTCTTCGCCACACCTCCAAGTCACTGGAAGCCTAGACTCACAAAAAATAATATAGTAAATTAAAGAACAGCGAGAAAATCATTTTTCAAGAAAATGAACAAAAAAAATAGAAAAAAAAGTTGGGAAAGAGAAAAGCTCATCCAAAATCTTATCACAAAACCAGGATCCCAAACATGGCCAATAGTCCCGGTTCAAGCTTCCCCTAAAATCAAGACAACAGATAGAAACCGTCACCAAATACCCCCAGTGAATTTTCAAGGAAAGAGAACAAACAAAGACCACGTTGGCAAGAAAAACTCCCAATTTAATTCACATCCATCCAAATAAAAGCTCTTCTACCCTCCGCAAACCAGAAGTCCACTGTTCCTGAAAGACAACATCAAAAGAACCAGAACCCGAGGAAACGAAATCTTGAAACATCACCAAGATCGGAACAAACAGTAAAGCAACTGCCTATAGCAATGCAACAATGATGCAGAAAGCAAAACTCCAAATTACATATTACTTCACATCCATCCAACAATTTTTAAGAATCATCACCTCCAAAAGCCCATATTCAGTCACCACCCTCATTAGAATTCTGCGAGTGAGTGAAAACATGAATAGCCAACAGAGACTTGAACTTGGCACAAAGATGAAATAAAAATTGTAGATCATCTAGAATATTATCAGAACTGATAAATGTAGCATTCAATCTTCTTCAGACCAAGACGAATCAGCACCATCAAAAAACACTACCTATACAGACATGTTAGATGACAGAATTTAATACCCGTTAGATACCAAGCACCGCAGAGCCATCCCCAAAGAGAAGTCCTGGACTAAGCTAATCCATCAAAATACGAAACACAAGAAAAGAACAATAGGGTACAATAACTTAGGTGAATTGAATGGAGAGAAGACAATTCGTAGATGGTTTAGAAAAAAAAAAGTTGAGAATAAGCAGAGATATACACTTGGTTATACCTCAATCTATTTCTCATGGATCAGGAAAGTCAACTCTGCAGGGATTACCACCAGACCAAATAATGGAGACAGAATAAGAAAATATTAACAGAAAAATATAGTGTCAAAACCCCTAAATTCCTCATGCACAAAAGATAAATTAGTATAGGTGAGAAAATAACTTCCCTCCAAATAAGTTTACTAGCCCTTGATCCGAGAATGGAGAGGTAAGTTGAACCACCTTCACTGAAGGCCCTAGTAATATAGGAAATTATAAGACAGAGCAGATCTACCATCCAGAGATCTCTCACTCAATTCAAGGAAACAACAGAAAACAAGTAGGGAAAGAGAGAGCTCCTCCAAAATCTTTTCGCCCAGAATAGCACAGTAACAAACATGATAACAATGCTTTGATCCAAGCTATCCTAAAATGAAGACGAGAGAAGCCATTACCAACAAACACCAGTGATCTCACGGCAAACAGAACAAACAAGAGAACTCCTGATTTACCACATCCATCCAAGAGAAGAGAGCACTTTTTGCCCATGCAGAACTCCACCATTCTAAGACAACCACACCAAAAGAACCAGAAAAGAAGAGACAATCTTAGAAAAAGAAAAGAACAAGTACCATTCATGAAGTACACAACATACTGCAAAAGTGCAAGAAAGTGCAGGCCTTCATGATCAATTCTTAATCAACACCACAGAGAAACTTCTGGAAGCCCAGAGCCACCACCTATAGCAACATCACCTAAAGCAAACAAAAAACACCACCTGGAGGTCCAGGTAAAAGCTCCAGATTTTCATTACATTCAGACCCATCCAATTTATTCACGAAGAGACACATCCCAGAGACCTCCCTTTGACTGCGGAAAGCAACACAAAAAGCCAACAAAAATTCAAAATTCGACACAGATGAGAACTGACAATGGAATGAACCAATAACACCAGCTTTTTACAAATTTAGATTACCTACCATAACCCCAAACCTATTCATATAACAAGCATAAACTTCAGATCATGATGAACCACCAAAACACCAGAACCTACCTTAAAACATGTTTAGTGGCAGAATTTCAGCACTAAGAAATACTTCAGAAGATCAAAATCGCCAAACTGGTAAGATCCTAAGCATCTGAGAACCATTCCCCAGAGATAAAGAAGGCATGGGATAAGCAGCAAAATGGGTGCATGTGAATTGAATGGGCAGGTCGAAGGTGTTCAACCATTAATCGCTGGGATTAAGCAGTGATACCTTTTCCTTGAGGATCAGGAACACAAGACTTCCAAGCAATTACTGACAAAACAATAATGCATAACATTTCTACAAACATGGTGGACTATGGAAGAAAAGATTTACAAAAAAACTAGATTATATTTATAATAGTCTGCAGACATCAAAAAGTACTAAAACCTGTAAAATGCTCAAGCCAAAAAAATAAAGAATGATAAGCATAGTAAGAAGATAAATCCCCCTCTATAATAATGTACTAGCCTTTGATCTTGAGGACAGAGACCTAAGTTTTGGCCACACCTCTGAATCACCAGAATCCTAGATTCGACACAAAATGATATGGTAAATTAGAGAACAAGTAGAGAAAATCATTTTTAAAGAAACAGCAAAAAAAAGAGCAGGGAAAGAGAGAGCTTATCCAAAATCTTGTTACAAAACCCATTAGCAGGGTACCAAACACACCAACACTCCTGCAACAAGCTTCCCTAAAATCAACACAACAGACAGAAGGCATCACCAACCGCCACCTTGATTTTTTCAGGCAGAGGGAACAAAGAAAGACCAGGTTGAAAAGATATCCCGATTTTATTCACATCCATCCAAGAGAAAACTCTCGCCTCCACACACCAGAAATCCACTATTCTTGAAAGACATCAAAAAAACCAGAAGACAAGACAAATCTTGAAAAATCACCAAGAACAAAACACAGTAATTAGCGTCAAGTCCTTTTACCAATCCACTCTATAGGGAGACTGCTGAAAAACCAGAACTGCTGCCTACAGCAATGCAAAAATAAAGCAGAAAGCAAAATCAAGGATCACATTCACATCCATTGCATAATTCCACGAAGAATCACATCCCATAATTCTAAAAAAATGGCATCCAAAAGCCCATGTTCCGTCACCACCCTCAATAAAGGAATGGATCAAAAGACTTGGCACAAAGACAAGAATAATCCTCAAATAAAAACTCTGAACAAGTTATCATTCAATCAAACCAATATGCATAGCCTTAACTCTTCTTCAGATCAAGTTGCATAAGCAAAATACCAGGAACCCCAACCATACAAAAGTTTGATGACGGAATCTACTTCCTGTTATATACTGAGCAGCACATAACCATCCCCAAAGAAAAGCGCTGGATTAAGCTAGTCCATCAAATACAAAAGCCAAAAAAAATGCTAACCTTCGGTGATTGAATGGGTAGGTTGAAAGCATTCATACAGTTTTTCCAGAAATAAATGGTTGAATAGCAAAGATATGCACTTGGTTACAACCCGTTCTATTCAGAGTGGATCAGGAAAGTTGACTCTGCATGACATGCTGCAGACCAAAAAGATTCACGGACAAATTATATTATAAATATGGTGTCCAACCCCCTAAATTCCTCAAGCACAAAAGAACAATTAGCGTAGGTGAGAAATTAACTCCCTCCAAAAAATTTTACAAGCCCTTGATCCGAGGATGGAAAGGCAAGTTTGAATCACAAATCACTGGAACCCAAAGTTGCAACACCCTAGTAATATAGGAAATTAGAGAACAAGCAGAGCAAATCCACAAATGTCCTAATCAACTTCAACAAAACAGCAGAAAACAACCAGGGAAATAGAGGTCCTCCAAAATCTTGTTAAGCCCGAATAGCAGGGTAACAAACATGATGAAAATGCTCCGATCCAAACTTCCCTAAAATGAAGATAATAGTTAAGCCATTACCAACGCGCGCCAGTGATTTTTAGCAAAGAACACAAACAAAGAATTGATTGGCAGAAGAGAACTCCCAATTTATCACCTTCATCCATCCAAGAAGAGCTCTTTTTGCTTCTATCCATCCAGGAAGAGCTCTTTTCACTTTCATACACAGAACTCCATCATTCTAAGATCACATCAAAAGAACCAGAATTTAAAAGCTAAGAAATACTTGACAACATCAATATTACCATATTGATACGATCCTAAGCATCTGAGAACATTCCCAAAGACAGAAGGCAGGGAACCAAAATAAATTCAAAAGCCTAAAGAGAACAAATGGGCAAAACGCAGCAGCAGCAGCAAAATAGGTGGAGGCAAATTGAATGGAGAGGTTGGAAGCTATTTCAATGGTGTTTGTCCTGGGAAGAAAAGGTCTGCAGATATCAAAAGGTGACAAAAGCACAAGATTGTTTGGAAGAATATAACTCCCTCCAAAACAGTTTACCATCCGAGGAAGGAAGGCTCAGTTGTCACTACAACTCCGAATCACTGAAACCCTATATTGCACAACACAAATGCAGGAGATCAGAAAACGAACTCGCTGTCTCACAGAGCAAATCAGCATCAACAGCTGAAAACAATCAAGACAGAGAAAACTTCAGGAATCTTGCAAACCAGTATAGCAGGACAAAAACATGACCAGAGCCTCCTGCATCCAAGCTCCCCTAAATCAATACAACAGATAAGGCCAGTTGCTAATTGACTCCCCAGTTAATTTTTTCAGGAAATAAAAAAGGAAACCAAAAAAAAGGGCGAGGGAAAAACTCCCGGTGTCGTAGATGATATTCGCATCCAGAAAGTCTTTTTAGCCCCACCGAAGACTAGGATTCTGCCACGCCACAACGAGAACATCAAAAGAACCAGAAAAAAAGACGAATCTTGATAACAAAAACGATCGAGAAATTACTAATTAACAAACCCAACAATAGTAAAAACTCAATCTTCCTCATCAATCCTGGATAGACAACACGCCAAAACTACCGAAAGTCCAGAGCACGCCTACAGCAATCACAACAACAATAACAGCCACAGATTAAATAAAACTCCAGATTCAGATTACGCTCACATCCATCCAACAGAAAGTTGCTTCCTACTCCATCCGCCCGAAATCCATCATTCTACAAGAAGCACGGCAAGAAAACCAGAAAGAAGAACCAAAACGGGGCTATTTTTGAACCAAAACAGGGCTAATTTTGAAGGAAATTTGATGTCAAATTTGTCCGATAATTGGAATGATCCAGAAATTACCACGTAAACAAACCGAATCTAGTGCAAAAACTGGTATCCTTCCCGTTCAATCCTTCGAAATACCCGATCAACCGCCAAAAAAAAAACCATGATTAAATCTCAAAAGTCGCATCAAAAAAATTAGCGATAATAAGCTTCAAATTAATCAAATCATCACAACCATAGAAGCAACGATCGAACCTAGCGATAATCATCAACCGAAGATCCTAACCTTCAGCTGAGACAAAAAACCACAACAATTGAATCTCATTTAGCGAAAGCCTAACCGTAGAATCCCAAGAAAACCCACGATGAAGATAAAAGCATGATTTCTTACCACAAACGAAACGGAAGCAAAAGGCCACAGGAAAGGAAAGCGGGGATTGGGGGTATTTATAGATGCTTGGGAAGAGAATGAACTGCTAGGATTAAGCGTCTTACGTGATCTGGACGGTTAAAAAGAGCTCTTATCCTCGTTGGACTCGGGCTAAGATTCCCTTACGCGTATTGCCCCAAAGTCGGTTGTTTATTTGATTTAGGAAATGTGGTCGCCACCAGATTTATACATATTTTTTTTTTTGGGTGCGATAGAAATCATTTTCTTTTACTGAAATTATTTTTAAAAAAACCTTGACAGCTGTGCATGGTCAAAGCCCGTAGGCTTAGGGAACTTTCTCAAAACTTCCGTTCGAATTGTTTTTTTTTTTTTTTTTTGTAGAAAAATGTACAATAATCATTTGACGTATATGAGATAAAAATATAATTAAAAATAAATTTATAAAGAAGATAAAATTGTTTTAGAGAAAAATGACAAGATCTAATTTAGTATATAAATTGATTTGTTTAAATAGATTATTTTTTAAAAAATTAATTACATCAAAAGCACTCATGCTTTATGTCACAAATATGTTGTTGGTGTGCTATGTGTGTGGATTGAAGATTATTTCACTTTATTTATACCTTATTGACACATACTGATTTGATTACATTATCAACACATTTTTCAATCACCTTTTTATCTCACATACATCACATCAAAAAAGTGTTACAATAAAAATATCTCAAATAATTTACAATCCAAACACATTGCCTTAATATATGTTTATTACGTAATCTCCTTATTTTGATTTTTTAGTTTCTTGAATAAATTAAAACACTTAGACTTTTAATTGGTTGCAATTTAATAATAAAATAGTGGTTGAATGCAATAATGGATAGCAAGATCGAGTAGGGATATCGTTGTCTAATGGATGTCGTAGATAAGTATTTAGAAAACACATTGATAAATAACGATTAACAAAAAATAATTTTTAATTAGATTGTAATTATTCATACTTTACTTCATAACTCCTTGATTTTTTTAATTTGTGTGAAAAATACTTAAAATATTAATTTCAATTACAATTTCATAATGAAATAGTGATTGAAATGCAGTAATTGGTAGCAAAGATTGAATGGTGATTGAATAGGGATGTTATTACTAATTAACATGGTAGATAAGTACTAAGGGAACATTGATGAATAATTGTGTGCCAATAACAATTTTCTATACGGAAAAAATGTGAATATAGATACTTTTTTCTTTCTCTTTTTTTTATCCAATGAATATGGACCGAATGAAAAGGCAAATGGCCAAAATGAAAACACCAGCAGATTAGAGGATTCCAGATTCCTCTAAAAATGGATATCGGGTGGGATATTATTCAGTATTTCAAGAAGGTTCACATTCCTCTGAAGTCTCATTTAGGCCCATCTCCAATTTGAATTGTGTCATTCCATATGGGGCCTGGCAGTTCAAATTTCTAGGAGATTGGGTATCAAATAACACAAATTTGTTTGGATTGTGCTTTTCGCGGAAAAATTCTAACTTTTTATAAATATATTTTTCAAATTATCTTTTTATTTCACATGTATCAAATCATTACAGTACATTGAATTATAAGCACTTTGGCATGGCATTTGAACTTTGACATAGAGCTCTCAATGAATTGAATTTTCACGAACAGGTTCTTACTTGTATATAATACTCTAATTGAGCTTGAGTTCCGTTCATATATCATATGAGCAAAATTTGAACACTAAATATTTAGTTTGATTCGACTCATTAAAAGCTCTTTTCATATATTATATGAACAAAAATTTCAACATTAAGTATTTAGGTTGATTCGACTCATTCAAAACTCTATTTTGACATATTGAAGTTGTGTTGCACTATCACGTGAACATTCAACTTGCCAATTATGCAGATGCTCATCATAAGTTTTCAACCTGTGTTAGAAAATTGGGAACTTCTAAGTAGTGGCTGGCAATGCAAGCAGTCTCAAATACTGCCAGAAAGGCAATTCCTGTGTTGATCTGCTTAAAAAGATGAGTTTGTCTCTATTATCAACAAATTTTATGAATGTTTCCTTGATGAGTTTGTCCAGCTTATAAACAGAGAAAGACTTTAGAAGCTTTGCACCGCACCACCACAGCCCCAAGAAATGATAGCTTATTAGGAAAATCTTTTTTTGTTTTGTGTTATATTGAGTAATCTCTTGTATTGTCACTTTCTTGTTTTGGGGCTTTAGAAATTTTGTTCTACATTTTATTTTTGTCTTCATTATAATAGATTTTGCTCATCTTTCTGGTGGATGTAGATCTAATTGATTGAACTACGAAAAAAATCCACAATACAAAATATGCAAGAACATTAGGTTGGTACATTTTCACACCAAAACCTAAATCAAATGCACCAACCAGATGTAACCGTTTCACTGAAAATTATATAGACCTGTCCAAATCTCTAATTTGGAATAGTCGATAGTCTTTATTTCACTGATTGATCTTGTTTAACCTTCTTTCATTTTTCTCTTTTGTTGGTCCTTCTTCTACAGAACAGGAGACTGGTGGAGCGTAGATACTTAGATCATCTGTCAACTCGTGCGAGCTCATAAAATCAATACTGATGAATCTAGTAATCCTGTGATATCTGTATGTTGGATCAGATACAAGAGATACTTGTAGGAAGCACCCTTTCATTAGATTATTCTATCTCTGAGCATATTATTTGCCTTCACTATGCCCTGTTGGTGTTTTCTTCAATTTCATGATGAGCAATTAACAGATATGTTAGCTAAGAAAACAAAAAAAAAAAAAGAAAAAAGAAAAATTGATGCTTTATTGAACCTTCTAATTGCAACGTTCTTCTTAATCCAAGGCATGCAAGTCCAAATACAGATGTAGTTTAAAATGAATAGGACTAACATAGACCAAAATGAAAGATGATAAGCAGCAAAGGAGGGAAGAATGGTGATTGAATTATTTTGAGTATCAAAGCCATTTCAGCCAATTCTTTTCCTTTCAGGCCACAGGAGAAACATTTTTTGCAGCTCATCCCTTGTAATGAAGAGCCTCATTGATGAACTTGTTGAAATTAATGTAAGATAATCCCCTTACCTCAGTTGCTTCAGCTTTCTTCTTCTATTCTTTAGCTTTGAACCTCATTTTTCCCCTTCCTCTCCCACAATCATTTTGCGTACAAGTTCTGCAACTTCATCGTACTTCACGTCATGATTTATTTCCATTCCAATTCCCCATTTCTCACAAGAGTAATGACAATTAGTTTGCTAATCAACAAAGAAAGGCCAGCAGATGACAGGCACACCAGCACAAATAGTTTCCATCATAGAATTCCATCCACAGTGAGTAAAAAATACGCCAATAGCTGAATGCTCCAACACTTTCTCCTATGCACACCAGCTTGTTAAGAACCCTCTATCCTGAATCTCTTCCAGGAAATCTTCAGGCAACATTACTGATTATCCTCCCTGCACTACATTAGGCCGAACAATCCATAAGAACTGTTGCCTGCTGGTAGCAAGTCCCCAAGCAAATTCTCTGAAATGATGGTTAGTCATGGTTGTTACACTTCCATAATTAACATAAACAACTGAGTTTGGTGCTCTTCGATCCAGCCACTCGAAAACTTTCAAGTCAGGCTTCCATAAACTTGAATTTAGGGAATTGACTTGGCTTTTGGAAACAATGTGCCTGGCTAATAACTGTAGAGGGCCTATAGTATAAATATTTGGGAAATTGAACTTCGAAATGACTGCCTCCAATGCTTCTGTTTCAAATTCATCGAAGGCATTGAAGATTATTGATGAAGCTTTGAGACAACTCTGTGCTTCCTCTCCCATGAAATCAAACATGATGTCATTGGATCGGTTGCTCTTAAAAAGCTTCGAAGGTCCCTGAATTTTACATTGCTCATTGATAGGGTACAATTTGTTAGTAATTTTATTATTAATTTTCCCTTTTATCCCTGACAAATATTGTGTTAATTGCTGATATTTACTCATATTTGGTATGTGGACTTAATTTCAGGAATAAAGCAGAAAACTACCAAAAGGAGGGACTTTATGGAAAATATGGAGACTTCTAAGGGCTTCAATGCTTGGGTCCTTGAATTGGTGGGGACCACAAGCTAGTGGAAGGCATCTAGTCATTTGGACTCTAAAAAGAAAGCTACGGAAGGAGACTTGGGGCAAGAAGTACTTTGAAGGCTTTGTCCACATGTGTGGGGACCACGTAGAGAGCCTTTAGTTATCTTTCTTTTGTGGCTTAAATAGGGATAACGTAGAGTAGCAGAGGATATCTCTGTTTTAGTCTTTTAGTGTAGCTTTACTTTTTCCTTCTTTTGACTGGCCTCTGGCACACGCCAGGTGTTCGACAAAATTCCCCAACGGGAAAAACACCTTTTATTCCTTGCTTCTTAATAGAAAACGCTATGCCTTTGCAATCCAT